ATCGGGTTACGCTCTGATCCTACCTGCCCTGCCCTGCTCCCATCCTGCGGCCACTGGCTCCAGGAAAGAGCAGCGGACAATGGGAGGGGGGAATCCTCCCCCTTCTGCCCCGGTCACCCCGCTGCCTGCAGGGGCTGAGGAGATAAAACGGGCCAGCCTGATGCTCCATTTCTACTCTCCATAAGGCCAGGCCATGTGATCCCACCTGGGGAGGGACTTCAGGGTCCCAAGGGGGACAGGCCAGGACACCTTACCTGCCAGGGATTTTACTGTCAGCCCACAGGCCCCAATCCCCTGCAGATCCCTGTCCCAGAGAGGGTGGGTGCTGCAGTGCTTATCCCATGCCGCCTGCACTCCTGGCTCCCCGCTTTCCTCTCTAACCAGAAGGGTCAACAAACTGCCGTCAAAGAAATGGAAGCTGAGAGTCACTTGCAAAGTTCCCTCTAATCTTTGCCTTCCATGTGCAGATTTTCCCATCCATGTGAAGGATAAATTTTTCTATGTGCACCGAGACATGTGCAAATGTGCACCACCCAGCAAAATAAAAATCCTGGGCGCTCTGCTAATCAGCTGGGCGGCATCGGAATCTTTCCCGAGCAGCTACACCAGCACACAGCTGACAGGGAACACTGTTCCCTTCCATTAACCTGCCGGCAGGAGCTGGGGGTTTTAGATCACCCCCAAACAACACAAGAGTCACACTGGCAACTGCAAGGTGGCGACACTGCGAGCTGTGAATCACCTCCTAGAGTCACCTCCCCAGCAGCGGCTAACACAGCAACAACCCTCGGCAAGAAAGCAAGACCGTGGGCCAGCGTGCAGGGATCTCAAAGCACTTTACAAACACCACTCCTTTAAGCCAGTGCCCCCCAAAAGGTAGGCAAATCGGCATTAGCACCCCCACTTCACAGAGGAGGAAACCGCAGCAGAGAGCAAGGGCCTGTCCGCGGGGGGAGGTGCCCAGGACAGCTCTCCGGTAATTGCTGCCCCCGGACGCTCTGATACAGCCTAAAAATGGTGTTGTTCCAGAGGGCAGAGACCTTTATTAGGAACAGTGTCCCCACAGGCAGCTATTCGCCAGTCAAGTGCCCGGGGGCAAGGACAGAGCCAGAAATCAAACCCAGGGCTCCGGATTCTCACGTTCTCCCACTCTTAGCAGCCTGGCGGCCAGGGGCCCTGACAGCTTAAAGCCCATCCCTCCCCCAAAGCAAAACCCAAAGGGGAGCTTTGCTCTCGCCTCCGTGGACTAGTAACGCCGGTGGACTAGTAACGCTGCTTCCCTGGCGCATCCCTGGCACAGCCCGGGATCCTTTCCAAGAGCCAGGAGGGGGGAGGGAACGCCTGGGCCCAGATAGAGGGGGGGAGTGTAACTCCCCCTCACACACACATGCCCACTTCCTCTCCCACCTCCTGCACCCTCAGCCCTGCCCCCAATTTCTATGAGAGCCAGAGGGAGCAACAGAGAGCTGAGAAGGGAGCAGTTTCCTGTTTCTAGTGGGGGAAGGGCAGCAGGAGGAGTCTTGGGCCCAGTTTTCGGCTCCCCTGCACCTACCACCCTCCCAATCCCCTCCCCTGGGAGGCTGCAGCCGAAGCCCGGGGGTTCAGAAAGTGCAAAGGCTGGTGAGAGGGTGCTGCAGGCCAGGGATTCGCACCGATTCTCCTTGGAGCTTGTCGACATGGGAGATTTTTCCAGTTACACCGGTGTCGCCAACTCATTCTAGTCCTGGAAGAACCCCTCAGGGGGACACTCCGATTCCAAACCAAGAATGGCTTTTTGCAGCGTGTTTACACCACTTCCAAGGGACCCACGTGCCACCAAACAAGGCCCCCCCAGATCAGGAGCCAGGTCTCCCCTTGAGGGGCTGTGCTGGTGTAACTACACTGGCACAGTGCTCCTAGTGTGGACACAGCGGGAAAGGGGGCCGCAGTCCCAGGACAGCTGCCCACGCTGGGGGCTTTTGTGGGACAGCTGTTGATCAGGATCACAGCTCTTCACCCCCCTGCTGACACAGCTGGAGTAGCACAGCTGGTACATACTGGGGGCTGGGGGGAGGCATGTTGAACCTCTCTGGTCCAGCTTGGAGGGCCTGAGCGGTCCTGAACCAGGGAATTTGCTGGACGAGGGGAGGTCAACGCTCTGCTTCTGGCTACTGGCCCCCAGGCTGCACTCCCAGCCGCCGGCCCTGGGGTTTTGCTCCTGGTCTCTGCTCCCGGTTGCTGGGGCTCCACTCTCCCCATCAACCCCAGGGCTCTGCTCTTCCCTAGTCCAGCATCGCCCCTGGCCCTAGCCAGCCAGTTTTCCCCACGAGTGCTCCAGCCCTGAAGCACCCACAAGGTTACCTGTGATGCAGGACAAGGTGTGATGCCAGACTATAAAGTCCAGATTACAAAGGTTCAGCCTGTATCCGGTTTACATTCACTCTACCTTACACCCGTCTAGCTTTCCCATGTAGACCAGTCCTTAGGAACTAACTGGCCCCCCTTAGCTGGGATATCCCAGCTCTGCCAGACTCCCTGGGTGATGTCTCCATGCCTCAGTTTCCCCCGTGCAAAACTGGGAATTGCACGTGTGCGTGTGCGCGCACACACACACACACACTGCGGCTGCAAGAGCACATGGCCACTGAGCTGAAAACATGGGGCAAGTCTGTCCAATCCCACAATGCCACGGCCCCTTCTCCACCCCCTCCAACAGAAACTGCAGGCGGCCTGGGGGCCCCTGGGTTTGCTCTCAAGGGGAGCTTGTTCTCCGGCTGGCTGGGCTGCTGGCTCCGGCTCCCCTCCCCTGCGCTGCAATGCTGAGTGGGCAGTGCCAGGGCAGCAGCTGGTACTTGGAGGCTTTTCCCCCTCTCCCTGCCTGTTCCGACAGACACGAGGGGGTGGATGCTTCCCTCCTCGGATTGCAGGGTCAAGTTGTGTCTGACTCCTACCGCTGGTTGGGTTTAGTTACCAGCATTCGTCTAATGCCCAAGCCAGCCTGCACGCCCAGCTCTCCCCAGCCAGCCCAGCCCGTGCTTTCAGGCCTCCACAGGGCCTGATCCCAGACCCAACCCCCTGCACACACCCAGCGCTGCTACATACGCCACACCTATCACACTCCCTGCAGGGTCAAGTTGTGTCTGACTCCTACCGCTGGTTGGGTTTAGTTACCAGCATTCGTCTAATGCCCAAGCCAGCCTGCACGCCCAGCTCTCCCCAGCCAGCCCAGCCCGTGCTTTCAGGCCTCCACAGGGCCTGATCCCAGACCCAACCCCCTGCACACACCCAGCGCTGCTACATACGCCACACCTATCACACTCCCTCACACGGAACTACGCACAACTGCGCGCACACTTCTTCACACAAACACACAGGACTACACGCACAACTGCGCACACATACTCTAGTCTATGCACACTCCCTCTCACAAGCACACGGAACTACACGCACAACTGCACACTCACTCTATTCTACGCGCACTCCCTCTCACAAGCACATGGACCTACACGCACAACTGCGCACACATACTCTAGTCTATGCACACTCCCTCTCACAAGCACATGGACCTACACGCACAACTGCGCACACATACTCTATTCTATGCACATTCTCTCACACAAGTTCATTGCACTAGATGCACAGCTACACACATACACAAACACACTATATTCTATGTGCACTCCCTCACACAAGTGCGCACACACATATACTATAGTCTATGTACACTCCCTAACACAAGTGCATGGCACCACATGCACAGCTGTGCACACGCACTCTGTTCTACGCACGCTCCCTGGCACAAGCGCACGGCACCACATGCACGGCTGTGCACTCGCACTCTGTTCTACACACGCTCCCTGGCACAAGCGCACGGCACCACATGCACGGCTGTGCACTCGCACTCTGTTCTACGCACGCTCTCTAACACAAGCGCACGGCACCACATGCACGGCTGTGCACTCGCACTCTGTTCTACGCACGCTCTCTAACACAAGCGCACGGCACCACATGCACGGCTGTGCACTCGCACTCTGTTCTACGCACGCTCTCTAACACAAGCGCACGGCACCACATGCACGGCTGTGCACTCGCACTCTGTTCTACGCACGCTCTCTAACACAAGCGCACGGCACCACATGCACGGCTGTGCACTCGCACTCTGTTCTACGCACGCTCTCTAACACAAGCGCACGGCACCACATGCACGGCTGTGCACTCGCACTCTGTTCTACGCACGCTCTCTAACACAAGCGCACGGCACCACATGCACGGCTGTGCACTCGCACTCTGTTCTACGCACGCTCTCTAACACAAGCGCACGGCACCACATGCACGGCTGTGCACTCGCACTCTGTTCTACGCACGCTCTCTAACACAAGCGCACGGCACCACATGCACGGCTGTGCACTCGCACTCTGTTCTACGCACGCTCTCTAACACAAGCGCACGGCACCACATGCACGGCTGTGCACTCGCACTCTGTTCTACGCACGCTCTCTAACACAAGCGCACGGCACCACATGCACGGCTGTGCACTCGCACTCTGTTCTACGCACGCTCTCTAACACAAGCGCACGGCACCACATGCACGGCTGTGCACACGCACTCTGTTCTACGCATGCTCTCTAACACAAGCGCACGGCACCACATGCACAGCTGTGCACACGCACTCTGTTCTACGCACGCTCCCTGGCACAAGCGCACGGCACCACAGTCCCAGCGCAGCTGATGCGCGATCACTGCCATTTACACGTGGGCTAAGTTTCCCGCTCCATGCAGTTGGGCCCGAGTCCCAAAGGCCGGAGCCAGCGCCCCCGAATCTAGAAGGGGCAGCTTGGGCGGGGCGGCCCTTCCCCCTCCTCTGGCTCCTGCTGCACGTCCGGCTCCAGGAGCTCTGCCGCAGGCCCTCGGGCAGGACGCCGGCTGGCCGGGGCTGCATGCCCGGGGGTGGCGGGGGCGCCACTGATGGGACAAGCTGCCCGGCCTGCACAAGGCGCCCGGGCGCCCCATCCCCGCCCTACCTTCGAAGTCGGAGAGGATCCCCTCCAGGTGCTCTTTGACGGACAGCTGGGCCATCCCTGCCCCCGGCCCCACAGCAGAGGGGGC